TTTTTTCTGCTTCTAAAATGAGAATTAAAAAGAAGTCTTTAACTTTACTTCTTGAAAAGCTTTTTTTCTCATTCCCTGCAAGAAACTTTATGGAAAAGCCTTTAAGATCATGAAAATGGAAAAACGAGAAAAAAAATTTCTAAATTAAAGAAAAAATCTTTAATATTAAAAATATTACCAAAAAAATTGTCAACAATTTTGTATTTAAAGTAAACAAAAGCTACAAAGATATTGTTGTGTCGCAATAAATAAAATAAGTCTTAGTGATTCCATTCAGTAATTATTTTAGTATTATTTTCAATAAGAAAATTAAAAATCAGGTAAGAATTGCTGTCATTGCTGAATTGCTGTAAAATAAGAATTCATCCTGTCAATTAGTTCTTTTGGAAAAAATTTTTCTTTTTTTTTTTAAATTTCTGATTAAACTGTTGAACAATGAAACAAACAAACATGTTAACAGTGTTCTTGAGATGATGTATAAGAGATGATATAATAGAACATTATGAAGTTATGCGCAGCAAAGCTTCAGTGAAGGAAGCACTTAATGTTCTCCTTTAGTAATTTAATGGTCTGACGTTAATTAGCATTAACAATGTTGAGAAAATTTGCAGAGCTTGACTATGTGAGATGATGAAACTGTCAAGTTGACACTTGTAACACTGACGTAATTCCTGGTTTTCCTTATATATACTATCCTGATGCACTCAAAACAAACCCATCTTAGAGATCTAATGAGACCAAGATCCTTCCTTCAAAATTAACCTAGGTCTTCAAAACAATTCCTAGTCCTTATTTTCCCCTTCAACTGCCTCTAATTAGTAAAAGCAAACTTGGCGAATTTACATAGTCATAGTTTTCTCCTTGAAAAATATAAGAAAAACCTTGGAGAAATGAGAAGAGAAATTTTCTCATCTTCAAAGTCAAAAGAAATGCCGCACGTGGGAAAACATAAAGCTTTCAAGGGGTTTCGAGTTAAATAATAAATTTACAGTGCTGTGAAATTATCTTTAGGTATATAACAATTTATTTATTAAATGTAAACTCAAATTTCAGGAACAAGTAAACTTTGAAGCTGGCTTTGAAACAAAAGTAATAATTAAATTATACTGCCGGTACATTAATTTGAATTTTACAATTTCCTATTATGTAACAATTTACATAATTAATCAAATTAGTCAAATTAATTAACTTGAAAAGTAAGTTTGTGCTCATCTCTCTCGGGAATTGTGAGATTGACTATATAATTAACGAAAAAATTTAATTATATATGTAAATAATGTAATTCACAGAAAAAAGTGAGTGTTATTTTAACACTGAATTCGGTGTTAAAAGTGTCTGCATCAAACTTTAGCTCGGAAGTGTTATTTTAACACTGAAAATAAGGTAAATTTTCTATTATAGAAAATTTATCCTCACTAAAATTACCCTACCAAAATTTACCCGCATCAAAAACAACACTCGCTTTTCTCTGTGTTATATGTAAATAATGTAATTAAACATTCGTTGCAGTAAAAATCAAAATATTCCATCACGGAATTCTGAGATTTGCCGCATAACTAATCAAGAATGTAATTAAATATAAAATATAAATAATTCCTAAAAAAAAATTTATTATTTATGAAAATAATTAAATTATTGCGAAGATATTTTGAAAAAAAAATGAAAAAAAAAGTATTTGTAATTTATACAATCGAAGAAATTTGTCGTAGGAAGAATCAAAATAATCCGTCACGAAATTCTGAGAATAAAAAATAATTAACAAAAAATTTAATTCAATATAAAGAAGGAAAGAGTCGATACAATTTTAAATGAAAAAAAAAAATTATTTGTAATTTACGAAAACATTTCTTGCAGTAAGAAATTAAGAATAAAAATCTTCCGTCACAGAATATTGAAATGAAAAAAATTTATTTGTAATTTACACAATCGAAAACATTTTTTGCCAAATAATACAAAGTAACTAATTATTAATAATAAAAATAATAACATGCCTCGCACATATTTACTAATTATTTTTAAAAAAATTTAATAACAGTTATTAGAAAAAATTCAAAAAAATTTAATAAAATTCTTTAAAACGATTAATTAATTAATTAATTAATTAATTAAAAAATTATTTAAAACAGAATTTTTCTAATATTTTACGAAAAAAATCAATTACTTAAAAATTTAAATAGATTTCTGTAAAATTCTTCGCAAGAATTCAATTATTTTCATAAATAATAAAATTCGTCGCATGGATTTCAATTATTTTTCATAAAATTTTACAAAAATTGATTAAAAAAATGTAATTATTCTTAAAAATTTAATTTCAATTCAATTACTTAAAATAAATGTTTTTTTTTTTAAATTCGTGGGAAGAATTCAATTATTTACAAAAATATAAGAATTTATACAAGAATTCATTTATTTACATAAATAATTCTTCGGAAGAATTCAATTATGTCGATAAATAACAAAATTATTCCGGAGAATTCAATTATTTTGAGGCATTTCAATCAAAAAAAAATCTTCGCAAACATATTCAATTATTTTCATAAATAAAAAAATTCTTCTCAGAAATTCAATTATTTTTAAAAAATTTAATAATAATCGTTGCAAGAATTCAATTCTTCTTCTAAAAAGAACAAATTTTTTGTACAAATTCAAATATGTTTATAAATAATAAAAAAAAATTTAAATTCTTTTAAAAATTAAATTATTCTCATAAATAATAAAATTTTTCAGTGAATTTGAATATAATATTTAAAAATGTTAATAAAATTCTTCGAGATAATTGAATTATTTTCATAATTAACAAAATTCTTCCCAAAAATACAATTATTTCAAAAAAATTTAATAAAATTCTTCCAAAGCATTCAATTATTTTTGAAAATAGCATAGTTTTTTGCATAAATTTAATTATTTTCATAAATAATTAAAATTCTTCACAGAAAATTTATTTTTTTCAAAAAAATTCAATTATTTCCAAAAAATTTAATAAAACCCTTCCAAAGAATTCAATCATTTTTAAAAATAGCAAATTTTTTTGCATAAATTCAATTATTTTCATTATCCAATTCAAATTCTTCACAGAAAATTTATTTCTTTCAAAAAATTTAATAAAATTCTTTTCAAAAATTCAATTATATTCAAAAAAATTTAATAAAACCCTTCCAAAGAATTTAATTATTTTTAAAAATAGCAAATTTTTTTGCATAAATTCAATTATTTTCATCATCCAATTAAAATTCTTCACAGAAAATTTATTTCTTTAAAAAAATTTAATAAAATTCTTCCCAAAAATTCAATTATTTCCAAAAAATTTAATAAAACCCCTCCAAAGAATTCAATTATTTTTGAAAATAGCATATCTTTTGCATAAATTCAATTATTTTCATAAATAATTGAAATTCTTCACAGAAAATTTATTTCTTTCAAAAAATTTAATAAAATTCTTCCCAAAAATTCAATTATTTCCAAAAAATTTTAAAAAAACTCTTTCAAAGAAATCAATTATTTTTAAAAATAATAAATTTTTGGCATAAATTTAATTATTTTTAAAAAGCTTAATAAAATTATTCTACAAAATTCAATTATCTTCATAAATAATAAAATTCCTCTGTGAATTTGAATAATGTTTAAAAATTTTAATAAAATCCTTTCAAAAATTCAAATATTTATATAAATAACAAAATTCTTAAAATTCTTACCAGAAATCCGATTATTTTCATAAATTTACAAAATTCTTCTCAAAAATTTAATTGTTTCAAAAAAATTTAATATAATTCGTCCAAAGAATTTAATTATTTTTTAATATAACAAATATTTAGCACAAATTCAATTATTTTTAATTTTCATAAATAATATACAATTTTCAAAGGAATTTAATGATTTAAAAATTAAAACACAATTTTCATAAAATTTTTTGAAAAAAATCATTTCTTTAATAATTTTTTTTTTTTTTAATTCTTCTCAAGAATTCAATTATTTTTAAAAACTTTATTAAAGTTTGGTGACAAAAATTCAATTATTTTTATAAATAATAAAATTCATCGCAGGATATCAATTATTTTTAATATAATTTTAAATTAATTCCGCCAAAAACGTAATTATTCTTAAAAATTTGAATAAAATTCTTTGAAAAAATTCAATTATTTAAAAAAATTTGATATAATTTGTTTCCAAGAGTGTAATAATTATTTTTAAATCATTTTTAATTACATTTTTTAAATGAATTTAATTATTATCAACAATTTTAATGCAATTCTTCGTAAAAATTGAATTATTTTAAAAAATGTTGATAAAGTTCTTTATAAGAATTGAAATTTAAGAAATATTTAATTTTTCAGATAAATTATTTATTATTTAAATAATTGAATTCTCGTCGAACTTTCTAATAAGAATTGATTTAGAATTGAATAAAATAAAATGATTAAAGTTTTGAATAATTTTATTATTTCAAGAAAAATAGGATTGAATTTTGAAAGAACTTTTGTAATTTTTAGAAATAGTTAAATTTCGAAGATGCGTTACATTGAAATCATTTGAAATATTTTAATTCCTGTAGACAAAATAAATAGGTATTTAAATATTTATTTTAAAAAATTATTCTATTTTTGAATGTAATTAAGAAAGTATAAAAAAAATTGAGTCGTCAAATTTAATTTTTCGATATCTACTTTTTTACTACTTTTTTCTGTCTTTGAGCTACTTTTTGCTACTTTTTAAAAATTAATTATCGAGTACGAAGCCTGTAATAATTTTTACTGAAAAAAAATCGAGATTCACCTGCTTCTTTTTTCTTCAAGTAATTTTTATTTCGATTTTCAAAAAACAAAGAATTTAGTGAATAAAAATTTGCATTGTTCATACCAGAACAGGAGGAGCGTTTTTTTTTTCTTTAAAGTTTAAAACCTTGTACAAAAATAATAAAATCTGAATATATAAAGCAAAAACTAGTAACATTGGATTTCAACTACAATGAGTGAATTTTGAACAATATTAAATTTCTGTTTTAGAGTGCAGGAAACAATGGATTCCAGGAGCATAGGATAAAATGAATAGAAGAGAGGACCCGCTGCTACGGCAACATCGCAGCAGATTGTTGCAGTTAGCCGAGGTTACTAATATCAAACCTGGTCGTGGCAGCGGGAAAAGACGTGGTCAGAGAACCCAACAAAATTTTGGACCCAGGTTTGTAGAAATAATTGATTTTTTTTCTTTTTATTACTTCTCTTTTTTATTTCCCCTGTCAATGGCAGATGGTAAATCGCGAAATTTCTCTTCGTTCAGAAAAATAATTTCAACAGAAATTTATATATTTTTTTATATAAATGTCGATACGTTGATATTAGCAAAAAAAAAAAAAAAAAATGTCTTCCTGGAATTGTATTTAATTGTTGAAATAATTATTTTTGGTAAACATAATTATTAGAAAAAATTTTTATCAAAAAAGATTGAAATTCTATAGGTGCAATATAACAATAAAAATTATTATTACAATCGCAATAGAATAAATAAAATATAATAATAAATATAAGACAGTAAAAGTTGCAATTATAATTGTTATATAATAATAAAAATTAGAATTACAATTCGAATATAATAATCATAAATAATAATAATAATAATAATAAATAATAATAAAATTGAAAAGAAATTCCTACGTGGAAAATTTCATTTTTCAAAGTCGTTATTGTTAAAAAAAATTAACGCTTACAAATTTAACAATTAAATTTACAATTTTTTCCCCTTCGTTCCTTGGTTCGTGCGCTGAATTTTTATTTACTATTTCTCAATTATATCTCAACTGGAAATTTTATCAATAACAAGTTGAGAATTTCAAGAGGACATTAAAATTCTAGGTACAAGATCCGATATATTTTATATCAATAGACGATATAAATTTTTGGATCCTTGACACTATGATAAATTTTCATTTAAAAGTATCTCCCCAGATTCCAAAAACTCCTAAGGGTTGTTAAATTGGTTATTGCTTTAAAAATTCTTCTATTTCCAGTAAATAAAAATTAATTTTTTATTTTTATAAATAAATTTTAATTATTAAACATTTTGAATGAATTAAATTACTCAAAAATTAAATTATATTAAATTTAAAATATCTTTAATTTTTAATTTTTAATTTTTAATTTTTAATTTTTTATTTTAAATTTTAAATTTTTAATTTTTAATTTTTAATTTTTAATTTTTAATTTTTAATTTTTAATTTACAATTTTTAATTTTAAATTAATCCACCAGTGATGAATTAATTAAGAATTATGTCTAGACAAGGTACAGTAAAGAACCAAGATTGCACAAGTAAAAGTTTGTTTTTTTTTCTTTTTACTTTTTCATGACTTCATTTTTAGATATTTTCTCTCAACTATTCGAAATTATCGCATCCCAGTTCAACTTGCTGATGCAATAAATCGGTTTATTAAAAAAAAAAAGTGTAGGCTATAAATAACGAGGAAAGTACTTCCACTATTAGAAATTACCGCAATTATTTTTAATTAAGCGTTACTGATGCTCCATTCGTAGCATTTGTTTTTTTTTTCTATAGAAAAAAAAATGTTTAAAAAAACAGTTTTTTAATTAATCTCCATAAGAAGTTTTCTAATTTTCCTAAAAAAGTAATTTATTTTAAAAATACTGCTAATAGCAAAATTTTTCTTTAGAAGGAAAAATTTTTTGATTTTCAATTTAAAATTGATGGATAGTTTTGTATTTGGAGAGAAAACACTCTTTAAAGTTTGTTTCTATGAATCTTTTTCGATTTTCGGCGAATATCTGCACTCAATTGATAAGTTTTTTGCTCTTGTCAACTTTTCATGATGGATTTCTATTTTTCTTTTTTTTTTCTTTAGTAATGGAGGTTCGAGCAACACTGGAAGTCGAATCACTCTTCAAGATATTGTAAGAAATGATCCAGGATATACGCCAAATATCGAGCACCTCGTATTCCGTGAAAGCAAAAGCGGCAATACAAATTTGAAATCGGATGGCTCGCCACAAAATAAATCGAAGGGAAATTCAAATTTTGGCAGATCAAAATTAGCCGAGGTCTTTTCACGAACTTATTCACGTGGCTCTTCACCGGATTCTTCTACTAATCGGAAAAATCATCTCAATGTGAGTTTTTATATATATTTTCATTTTTTAATTAAATTTTTTAATTAATTTTAAATTAATTTAAATTAAATTTTTATTAATTTTTAATTAATTTTTTAATTAATTACAATTTTTTTCTTGAAAAGAAAAACACATATTTTTTTTTTGAACACATATTTTCTATTCATTGTTAGCTCTGTTCTATTTTCCTCTTTTAGATCATGTCTTCTTTTTTAGTAACCATCTTATTTTTCTCAATCTCCATATTCTATCTCCATCCATTCGCTTCTAATATCCTTTCAGACTTATCACTTTTTTTTTCTTCTTCGAACTTTCTAGGTCTATCAACCACATTTTCGGAATCTCATTCACATAATTTAACACCGTTTGCAACCGCCTGATGTTAACTTTAGAGTTTAAACTTTATTTTTGAAATCAGTTACCTTTACAAGTTAATATATTTCGAAATTTTTGTCCTTTTTTCATTGACTTTGAAATTTGAAAAATTACACTTCTTCTAGAATTAGCTAAATTTTTTAATATATATTTAATTAATTAATTATTGAAAATAATTTATTTAGAGAAGAATTTTAGTTAAAAACACTAAAAAAAAATTGAATTTTACAGAATTTATAGATAATTGCAGAGATTCAATTATTTTCAAAAGTTAATAAAATTCTTCGCAGAAATTCAATTATGTTCAAAAATTTTAATAAATTCTCGAAAAAATTTAAATTATTTTTATAAATAATAAAATTCTTCTCCAAAATTCAATAATTTTCAAAAATCTGAATAAGATTCTTGGGAAAATTTCAATTATTTTCAACTACTATTTTAATCAAATTTTCCAAAAGAATTCAATTATTTAACAAAAATTTTGATAAAATTCTACGTAATCATTTAATTATTTTCATAAAATAATAAAAATTTCACAGGAATTCAATTATTCAGAAATTCTTGATAACTTTCTTCGCAAAATTTCAATTATTTATATAAATAATAAAATTCTTCTTCGAAATTCAATTATTTTTAAATATTTTAATTATGCCTAATTTTAATAAAATTCTTGGCAAAATTTCAATATTTTGAATAATTATTCTTAATTCAACGATTTTCAATAACTAATAAAATTTTCCAAAAGAATTCAATTATTAAAAAAAAAAAAATTTGATAAAATTCTACACAAACATTTATAATTATTTTCATAAAATAATAAAAATTTCACAGGAATTCAATAATTTAGAAATTTTTTTTTAATTATCTTCGCAAAAATTCAAGTATTTTCATTAATAATAAAATTTTTTTCCAGAGATTCAATTATTTTTAGGAATTCAATTATTTTCATAAATAATAAAATTCATCGCAGAATTCAATCATTTTTAATAAAATGTTCATCGAATTCCACAAAAAATGTAATTATTCTTAAAAATTTGATTTAAATTCGTCGAAAGAATTGAATTCTTTAAAAATTTTTGTTAATAAAATTCTTTATGAGAATTAAATTTTGTTACACATTCAATTATTCACAAAAAATTTTTCTTTTATTTAAATAATTGAATTCTCATACAATTTTCTAATAAAAATTGATATAAAATAAATTTTAGTTAATTTTTTTAAACAATAATTGAATATTAAAAGGTTTATAGTATAAAATTTTAGAAATAATTGAATTTTAAAAAGGCTTTAAATTAAAATCTTTGATAATCTGAATCTGCAAACGAATAATTACAGTAATTTTAGTCAAAATTTCAAACATTGAATTATTTTCATAAAAGTAATAAAAATTTTAATTATAAATAAAATTTGTTACAAGAATTTCAATTATTTTAATAAGTAATTAAACTTTATTGCAGAATTTCAATTATTTTCAAAAGTGATAAAATTCTTCGCTGAAATTCAATTACGTTTAAAAATTTTTAAATATTCTTGTCAAAATTTCAATTTTTTTTATAATCAATAAAATTCTTTTCCGAAATTCAATTATTTTAATAAAATTCTTGGCAAAATTTCAATATTTTGAATAATTTTTCTCAATTCAATGATGTTTAATATCTGCTGATTTAATAAAATTTTCCAAAAGAATTCAATTTTCATATAAATAATAAAAATTTCAGAGAAATTCAGTTATTTAGAAATTTTTTAAACATTTATTTGCAATAATTCAATTATTTTCATTAATAATAATATTTTTTACAAAGATTCAATTATTTTTAGGAATTCTATTATTTTTCATAAATAATAAAACTCATCGTAGAATTTCAATTATTTTTAATACAATTTTCAGCGGATTCCACAAAAAATGTAATTATTTTTAAAAAATTTATTAAAATGCTTCTAAAACAATTTAGCTATTTAAAAATTTGTTGATAAAATTCTTTATTTGAATTCAATTTTGATAAACATTCAATTATTCAACAAAATTATTTATTTTTGTGTATAAATAATTGAATTCTCGAAGAATATTCTTATAATAATTGATTTAAAAATGAATTTTAGTTTCAATTTTTAGATAATAATTGATTATTAAAAGCTTCATTTAGACATAGTGTCAATTTTTTAGTAATAATTGAATTTTGAAAAGATTTCGAAGTAAAATCTTTGAAAATCTTAATTTTTCATATTTTTTACTAACTATTCTGTAGAATTAATTTTTTTTTTTTGAAAAATTTTAATTGAAATTTTTTAAAATTATTCAAAATTTTTATTTTCATATATTTAATTGAAGAATTTACAAATAATTAATAAAAATTTTGTAAAATTAAATTGTAAGCATATAGATTTGAAAATTCTTAAAGAACTTTTTCAATAATTATTAAAATAATTGATTTCAAGAAGATTTCAAGATTTATTTGAAAATTCTAGAAAAAACAATTGAATTGAAATGATGAAAATAATAATTTTTAGAGTAAATCAAATTATTCTTCAGGGTTCTTATTATTTATATTATATTCTTTCTAGGAATTTAATTAAAATTGTTTTGAAAATAATTGAATTCCTGCAAAGAATTTTACTATTTACAAAAATAATTAAATGCTTACTAATAATTTTATTATTTATAATTATAATTTTTGAAAATAATAGAATTTATTCGAAACGTATTAACAATTTTTTTTTTAAATTTGAATTCTTCCGAGGAATGCAATTAAAATTTCTTTGAAAATAATTGAATTCCTATAAAGAATTTCATTGTTTATAAAAATAATTGAATTTTTTCGAAGAATAATTTACTTAAAATTTTAGAAAATAATTGAATTCTATTGAAAAATTTTATAACAATTTTTAGAGTGAATCAGCTTTTTCTTCAGGGTCTGATGGGAAAAAGTCAAAAATTTTTTCTGTAAATCAGGAAAAAGTCAGGGAAAAAACAAAAGTAAATTTTTTGAAAATCCTGACTGTCTCTAACCCTTTAAATATTTAAAAAAAAATTGATGGCGCTTTAAAGTTCTCTTTCACTTGAGAAAAAAATGAAGAAAGGATTGTTAATGAGATGACTTGACGATTTATGAATATTGTGATACGTAATCCTACGCGACCCCATTATAGTTGTCTGATCAGAAATTTCGTCTTCATTTTTTTTTCTGTTTTATAGTAGTATTGAAGAAACGAGTATATTGTGCGACTATAGAGTGAGTCTTGTATAAGCGGAGGACGCGTAAATGAAAATACTTTCATCGAATAAGTTGCGTAGTCGATACATGTTTCTACCATATTCGGAAGTAGTCGGCGGTGGCGGCGGCGGTCTGCTTTGTTAAATTAAAACAGTTTAGTCTTCGTTCTACTTCACATGCGAAAAAATCAATCCATTTTCAGTTTTGTTTTTGTAAACCGAAAATTCACAATATTTAATGAAATTTTTCTTTTCGAACATTCTTTTTTACTCTTTTAACTGACTTTTTCTTAATTTCTTTCCTTGATTCTTTTTTCTTCTTTTTCTGAGACTTTTCCTGTATTTTTTTTATTCCTTTGAATTTTATTTTGCTCTCTAATTTTCATTTCTTTGCTTCTTAATTTCTTTACTAAAAAGATAAATAATATTTAAATTTTTCAATATTTTTTCAAATTACATAATTTTTTGAATGTTAAAAATAACTTTAATCAATATTTACGTCCTAATCGTATTTTTCCATTATTTTTCTATATTAGGAAAAAAATTCTCGATAAATTATATTTGCTTTTGTTGCAAATTCGTCACTGGTTCGATTCAGATTTTATTGAGTAAAATTTTGGTCTTTTTTTGGAGAAATATTCCGCTTATCTAATTGGATGTTCTTTCAATTTTATTTTATGGGGAAAAATTCAAAGAATAGGGATAAATTCGTTTTAGGTCATTGAATAAGAGAAGACTAATTATTTTTTATGATTTGTAAATATTTATTTAGTTAATGTCAATTAAGTACCGTATATGCCTATAAATAAAATAATTAAAATAAATAAGACAAATCAACACAGTAAATCAAAAAACAATGGTTAATTATTAATTATTATAAATGCTAATTTTAATTAATGAATATTTTTAACTAATATTAAATATTATTTACTAATGTTAATTAATAATTAACTATTAGTTTATTAATGATAATAGAAATTTTTAATTTTTTTTGTTTATGAAAATAATTCATTTCTCGCGAATAATTATATTAAAATTTTTAAAAATCCTAATTAAATTCTTTTGAAGAATTTCTTTGAACTTTTTTAAAATAATGGAGTTCCTTCAATAATTTTAATTGGAAATTTTGAAAGCAATTGAATTTTATGAAGAAGAATTTTATTAAAATTGTATTCAAAATAATTGAATTCCTGCAAAGGATTTTAATCTATAATTGAATTATTCTGAGGAATATTATAAAAAAATTTAGGAAATAAACGAATTTTATGTAAATATTTAAAAATAATTAAATTCTTTACAAGAATTCTATTAAAATTGTTTTAAAAATAATTGAATTGTTAGAAAGAATTTATTAAACTTTTAGAAAAAAAAGGAATTTTATGTAAATATTTAAAAATAATTAAATTTTTTACAGGAATTCTATTAAAATTATTGTTTTGAAAAAAATTGAATTTCCGCAAAGAATTTTACTATTTATAAAAATAATAATTGAATTATTTCGAAGGATTTATTATAATTTTAGAAAATAATTGAATTCTCTTGAAAAACTTTATAACGAATTAAGCAAAAATTTTAATTCTTTTGTAAAATTTTATTGAAAATAAAATAATTGAATTTTTGCAAAGCTTTTACTATTTAAGAAAATAATTGAATTGTTTAGAAGGATTTATTACAATTATAGAAAATAATTGAATTATTCTTTCGTGAAATTTTATTAAAATTTTATTGAAAATAATTGAATTTTTGCAAAGATTTTACTATTTATTAAAAAATAATTGAATTCTTTCGAATGATTTATTACAATTTTAGAAAAAAAAATGAATTCTTTCTTAAAGTTTTATTAAAATTTTGTTGAAAATAATTCAATTATTGTTTTGAAAAATTTTATAACGAAATAAGAAAAAAATTTAATTCTTTTGTGAAATTTTATTGAATATAATTGAATTTTTTGCAAACCTTTTACTATAAAGAAAAATAATTGAATTCTATCGTGAAATTTTATTAAAATTTTGTTGAAAATAATCAAATTTTTGCAAAGCTTTTACTTTTTTAAAAAAATAATTGAATTGTTTAAAAGGATTTATTAAAATTATAGAAAATAATTGAATTCATTCGTGAAATTTTATTGAAATTTTGTTGAAAATAATTAAATTTTTGCAAATCTTTTACTATTTAGAAAAATAATTGAATTGTTTAGAAGGATTTATTAAAATTTTGTTTTAAAAGTAATTGAATTTTTGCAAAAAATTTTAATATTTATAAAAATAATTGAATTTTTGCAAAAAAATTTACTATTCATAAAAAATAATTGAATTTTTTCCAAGAATATTATTATTTTTATAAAAATAATTGAATTCTTGCGAAAAATTATATTAACAATTTTTGCAAATATAAACAATAATAATAATTAATTTTGTACTTAATAAGTAAATTTTAAAAATTTTTGATTATGAAATTATTTAAAAATTTATATTTGAAAATAAAAAATATTGTAATTTGCATAACAACAATAAATTGAATATCGCACGTTCGCGCGCGTAACATTAACTAGTTTAAAATTTTAATAATAAATAGTTACTTTTTTTGTAAACTAATTTATTAAATCATTATCAATTATAAAAAGTATGATTAAAATTACTAATAATTTTTGGGGGGGAAATTGATGTTTCAGAGTAAATCATTGGACAGTGGTGGGGCGTTTGCTCATCAGTATTTGTCAGGAACAGGTTCGATATCAAGAGTCACTCCCAGACGTTGGCTATCGCAAACATCGCAATCTCAAATTTCGAGGCAACATTCAACGGACGATGGGGCACGTGGGGCCCCAGTGGGTGTTGGAGGAGGACCTGTTTCGACCTCGTCCTCAAATCACGTTATTGCCCCTCGTCGTGTCAGTCCTGCAGCAGATTCATCAGAAATCGCCAATCAGGGCCCGACTTCGCGATCCGACAGGTAAGGAATTAAGAGAATTTTTTTTTTATATACATGTCACGTGATTTACTATTTGGGAGCAAAACGCAGAAAAAGGAGAGTGTAGAGGAGAATAAATAATTCTCCGGTTTAAATCGCCAGTTAACCGGTAACGATGTCGTCGAGCGGCGAAAGTGACAGGCGAATGTCGCTCGTTCTCCAATTTTCCGTGACACCCTTATATTTGTGAATTTATTTTCTCCGAGAAGGAAAAATTTTTCCCCATTTCTGAACAATTTGAAAACCTTTCGCAATTTTTTTTTTTTTTTTTTTTTGTAACTTCTTTTGTATCGTTTTTTTCTTTTTTTGTATCTTTTCAGCATTTTTTTTTATCTTTTTTTAATTTTTGAACCTTTTTGTATGTTTTGTATCTATTTCTATTTTTTGTACCATTCTGTATATTTTATATCTTTTTCTATTTTTTGTACTTTTCTGTATATTTTTTTTTCTATTTTTTGTACCTTTCTGTATATTTTTTTTCTATTTTTTGTACCTTTCTGTATATTTTGTATCTTTTTCTATTTTTTCTAACTTTCTGTATATTTTTTTCTATTTTTTGTACCTTTCTGTATATTTTGTATCTTTTTCTATTTTTTGTACTTTTCTGTATATTTTTTTTCTATTTTTCGTACATTTCTGTATATTTTGTATCTTTTTCTATTTTTTGTACTTTTCTGTATATTTTTTTTTATTTTTTGTACATTTCTGTATATTTTTTTTCTATTTTTTGTACTTTTCTGTATTTTTTTGTACCTTTCTGTAGGTATATTTTGTATCTTTTTAATATTTTCTTTATCTTTTTGGTATTTTCTGTACCTTTTTGTTATTTTCTGTTATTTTCTGTACCTTTTTGGTATTTTCTGTATCTTTTTGTTATTTTTCTCATCTTTCTGTATTTTTTTTTTTAATACCAATCCATTTTTACAATTCGGTTACAAAAATTACCAAAACTTATTTTTTACTCCCAACTCATTTATTGTTCCGGTTCCATTTTTTCGGACCTTTGAAGAAAAGTATAAAATGAGTACAAAAAGGTAAAGAAAGATTAATGTGCGAGTTTTGAAAAAAAAGAGGGTTGATATTGTTCTTTTTAGAAAATTGTGTCGCGACTTTATGAATATTCCTGGCTTCTTTTATTGCTCGAGCTGTAAATAAGTGACGCTAATGATAAATGACAAAAAGACGATCTTCCGAATCTTATAAATTATGAAACGTTGCAGTTATGCGCATTCATTGACCTCGTCGCCGGTAGCGGGATGCTGGTAAAACGACTGGTCGATAAGTTTCTCCTCTGTGTATAGCTACATTGCGCTTCTACGAGAATATTGATGCTTTTTTCTCTCTCTCTCTCTCTCTCTCTCTCTTTCTTTCTCTCTTTTACTCTCCCAGACTCCCACCTAAATTGTGACGCTGATTTAATATAAATTTTCACAATTTTTTTTTTTTTTATATATATTCCAACAATTTCAATTCAATAGCTATAACAGGGTTGACATAAAAATTCGATTTCGTTTTTTCATCACGATTTCCATATATAGAATTTTAACTGTTTCCCTGATTCCTATAAAAAAAAAAAAAATTTGATTATTAAAAAAGACTACTAATAAAAAATTTTTAATAGTTTTAATTCAGGGTTGCCATGCAACCTGGGAAACCTGCAAAACCTGAAAATGGCCGGAAATTTTATAAACCTTGAAAAAACCTGGAAAAGTCAGGGAATTTTGATCGGAATCATAGAAAATTATTGTTTTCTAAAGTTATTGCGTTAATTCTTGAAATCTAATTTTTCTTAAATATTTCAAAATTAATTCAATTTTGAAAGAGTTCCATTTACAATTCTCATAAATAGCTAAACTTCAAAAGGTTGTAATTTGAAATTTTGTAAAATTTCAATTTTGAATCAAATTAATTAAATAGTAAAAATTTCACAGGCATACTATTATTTACAAATTATTTATAAATTTCTTCGCAATAATTCTATTATTTTCATTAATAATAAAAAAACTTTATAGGTTTTCAATTATTTTCATAAATAATAAAGTTTATTAAAGAATTTCAATTACATTTTAATTACATTTAATTCAATTATTTTAAAAAGCCTTCCTATAATTTATTTATTAGAATTTAAGTATTATTTTGAATACATTTTTAATTAAAATTCTTGAAAGAATTTAATTATTTTCAAAAATTTTAATGAAATTCTTTTTAACAAATCAATTTTTTTTTTCAAAATCATTTTAATAAAATTCTTCGTAGAAATTTAATTAATTTCAATAATTTATTAAAATTCAATTATTTTCAATATCTACTATTTCAATAAAATTTCACAAAAGAATTCAATTAGGTATTTAAAAATTCGTCTCAAAAATCCAATAATTTTCATAAATTTTAATAAAATTCTTGTCAAAATTTCAATTATTTTCAAAACCTTTTCTCAATTCAATTCAATTTTTTTCATAGATAATTGAATTCTCGTAGAAATTTTCAAATAAAAATTGATATAAAAATGAATTTTTAGTTTAATTTTTTAGATAATAATGGAATATTAAAAGCTTTACACGGAGAGAGAATATATATTAAATTTTGTAAAAATATTTTCAAATTGGGGAAAAAGTGCGACAAAGCGAAATTTTGATATCAAAAAATACTAAACTTTAAAAAAACTTATGTGAAATTTAGTATAATTATATCAAATATCAAGAATATTAATTAAATTCTAATATAACTTTACTAAATTTCATATAAGTTTTTTTAAAGTTTAGTATTTTTTGATATCAAAATTTCGCTTTGTCGCACTTTTTCCCCAATTTGAAAATATTTTTACAAAATTTAATATATATTCTCTCTCCGTGTATAATATAAAATTTTAGAAATAAATTGAATTTTAAAAAGGCTGCAAATTAAAATCTTTGAAAATCTTAATCTGCAAACAAATGATTACAAAAATTCAATTATTTTCATAAGTAATCAAACTTCACCGCAGAATTTCAATTATTTTTAAAAGTAATAAAAATTCTTCACAGAAATTCAATTACGTTCAAAAATTTTTAAATATTCTTGTCAAAATTTCAATTATCTTTATAAATAATAAAATTTTTCTCCAAAATTCAATTATTTTCAAAAATATTCCTCAATTCAATGATTTTTAATATTTAATATTTTAATAAAATTTTCCAAAAGAATTCAATTATTTAAAAAAAATTTTTGATAAAATTCTACGCAAATATTTAATTATTTTCATAAATAATAAAAATTTTAGAGAAATTCAATTATTTAGAAATTTTTAAAAAATTTCTTTGCAATAATTCAATTATTTGCATTAATAGTAAAAATTTTTCACATAGATTCAATTATTTTTAGGAATTCAATTATTTTTATAAATAATAAAACACATCGCAGAATTTCAATTATTTGAAATACAATTTTCATCGCGAATTCCACGAAAAATGTAATTATTCTTAAAAATTTTATTAAAATTCTTCTAAAATAATTCAATTATTTAAAAATTTTTTTTTTATAAACTTCTTTATTCGAATTCAATTTTAATAAACATTCAATTAGTGAATAAATTATTTATGTTTCTATTTAAATAATTGAATTCTTGTAGAATTTTCTAATAAAAATTTATTTAAATATGAATTTCAGTTAAAATTGTAGATAATAATTAAATATTAGACTCTAAATTTCAATTAGTAAAAATGGTTTCTAATTTGAATTAGTGACTTACTTTTTGCTTTTGAAATTTTAATTAACAGATTTTACTAATAAATAGCAGTCGATAAAATTGTTGGAAAGAAATCAATTATTTTAAATAAAATTTTAATTAAATTTCTTTGAAATAATTTAATTATTTTTTAGATTTTAATAAAATTCTTCCCAAGAATTAAATTATTTACATAAATAATTCTTCGAAAGAATTCAATTATTAAAGATAAATAACAAAATTATTCCCGAAAATTCAATTATTTTGAGACATTTTAATAAAATTCTTTGCAAGATTCAATTATTTTAATAATTAACAATATTCATAACAAGAATTCAATTATTTTTAAAAGTAATAAATTTCTTCTTGGAAATTAAATTATTTAAAAAAATTCTAATAAAAATGTTCGCAAGAATTCAATTATATTCATAAATAATAAAATACTTTTTAGGTATTCAATTATTTTCAAAAGAAATTTAATAAAATGTCACAGACATTCAATTATTGTCAAAAATTTTAATAGAATTCTTTGTAAAATTTAATTATTTTTAAAAACTTTGCGCAATTCAATGATTTTGAATTTTTTTTGTCGTCAAGTTTAATTTTTCGATAGTTACTTTTTTACTATTTTTTTTTGTTTAAAAGCTTCTTTTTACTACTTTTTTAAAATTAATTATCAAGTGCGAGTGATCGATTTCTTCATGTTTTATAACAATTTTTTTATATGTTGTTTAATTTCAAAAAACTTTGAATTTGAATCTTCTTAAGAATTTTAATTCTTATGGAAAAATTATAAAGACTAATTACTAATTATTACTATTTTGTAAAATAAAAATGAATAGTTTTCAAAACATGGAAAAATTCCTTTTTTTTAACCTGGAAATGTCAGGAAATTCAAAATGAGCAAAAGCGTATGGCAACCCTGTAATTGTAACATATCTTTTTATTTTTAACATATTTTTTTTATTTAAAATGTAATAATTTGGATATAAATTAGAAAATAAAATTTTCTATCCCAATAAATAATATAACAAATCATTTAGGATAATTTATTTTCGGAATACTATATTAGACTATGCCAGAGGAATATAGTTTCTCCCTTTGAGCGTAAAATTTAATAGATCCAGAAATTCCAGTTCTCAGAATCTGGACTTAATGTCTTCATTGTTGAAAAATTTTTTTTATCTCCAACAAACAATGGTTGTCAGACATTGAATGTGCCGTAAGTCTCTCTTTCTCTCTCTCTCTGAATTGAATTCGATTCTCAGAGTAAGTGAATCGTTTCTTATATATATTCCTAACTTCATGAATGTTCACTCAGGTGAGGAAGTTTATCATGTCATTAATGATCTTCAGAAATGGTTTGTTTACCTCAATTCCCCTGCGGCACAACCGCAAATGAACAAGAAAGTTCATTAGTTTGCTAAATTATAGTGTGCGAGCCGCAAAAAAAAAAGAAGACAAAGTACTTTTAGGATTAAAAGGAAAAAAATTTCTAAGTCTCTTATCAATTTTAATGATGAACCTTAATTTCTTCGAGGGAATTTATTCTCCGCGGGGTAATAAATTTTTCCTACTCATATTTTTTTCGATAGCATCGAGACTGTCAGTTTGAAGGAAAAATCTGAGGAATATTTTATTTATTCAAAAATGTATGTAGATGAAAAAAGCTAAGAATCCATAAGGTGTATTGTATACATGAGTCGTTTTTTTATATATTTTTTTTTTCTTTCGTTATTGACATCTTTACAAAATCCGGTGAAATAGTATAGGAGAATCGATTGCGACTGTTGAAGGAGAGCTTACGTCCCTTGGATAGAAAAAAGGAAACGCTGGTGCCAATATATAAGACGTAAGCTTCCACTATCGATCATGCAACAAAATAAACATAATCTGATTTCAGTCCAGGAATTCTGTATTTTTCCTCCTCTTCTCATCTTGCATTTTTCAAATATTCAATAAAAGCAGAAGAAGGAAACTCTCAAGTTTGTAATTTTGATCTTCACAATATTGCGATTTTAGGCGAAAGAATTGAATTCTTCAAGAATTATTTTTTGGTTGAATATTGTAAGGAAAATATTAAGACACGTGGGCGATGTATAAAGGTGATTGGCCTGACATTGAATGTTTTACAAACGAAAATTAGCATTCTGGTGTAAATTCCGCCCACACTTTTTTTGTCACAGATTTGATTTCTACCGTCAAGTTTGTATTATTTTAAAGATAAATGAAATTCCGAGTGTATATTTTTATGAGAGATAAATTCGATCAAAAAGGTTCTCACAAACTTAAAAGTACTGGAAAAAATTAAATTTTTAGAATTTATAAGAAAATTCAGAATTTTTGTGTTTTTTATTTTGTTTGCCTCATAAACTATGAAATTAACAAGAATTCTAATACAAATCCTTCAATTTTATTCTTTTTCTGACAAGAATTTCTTTTTAAATAACTTAAACCTTGAACAACTATTATAAAATAAATACCTAAATTATTTAATGAATAATTTTACTTAAAAATTTCAAAAATAATTGGATTTCAAAAGAGTTGCGTTTACCAATCTTCATAAATAGATGAACTTTAAAGATTTCAATTTGAAATTTTATAAAATTTCAATGTTGAATGAATTTAATTAGAAAAGAACTTAGATTTTTGAAAAATTTTCATAATTCAAATTCTTCTGAAATTAAATTAAATTTTTCGAGATATATTTAACTAATTATTAAAAGAAAGGATTTATAGAGGAATTTTCTTCAATTCAATATGATTTTCAATATCTACTATTTTAATAAAATTTTCCAAAGGAATTCAATTATTTAAAAAAAAAATTTAATAAAATTCTAATATTTTCGAAAATAATAAAATTTTATACACAGATTCAATTATTTATAAATTTTTTATAAATTCATTTGGTATAATTCAATTATTTTCATAAATAATAAAACTTTTTACAGCGATTTAATTATTTTCAAAAATGATAAAATTCATTTTGGGAATTCAATTGTTTTCATAAATAATAAAATTGATTTTAGGAATTCGATTATTTTCAATTTTTCATAAATATTAAAATTCATTTAAGGAATTCAATTATTTTCATAAATAACAAAATTCATTTTAGAAATTCAATTATTTTCATAAATAATAAAATTCTTCTCCGAAATTCAATTGTTTTCTTAACAAAATTTCACAAAATTCTAGACAAAATTCCAATTATTCTTAAAAATGTTCCTCATTTCAATTATTTTTATTATCAACTTAAAAAAAATAGTTGTGAGAAATTCAATTATTTCGAAACATTTAAATAAAATTTTGTTAAAAATTCTATTATTTATAAAAAATTTTGACAAAATTCTTTACAAGATTTAGTTATTAAAATTGTAATTTTAATAAGACTTTTCTATACAATTCAATTATTTCCAATACAATTCTTCTTGAGAATTCAATTATTTTCGCAAATAATACATGTTTTTAAGGAAATTCAATTATTTATAAAAAATTAAATAAAATTCTTCGCTAGAAGTCAATTATTTTTATGAATAATAAAATTTTTCTTGAGAATTCAATTATTTAAAAAATTTTTGATAAAATGTTTTATAAATTTGAAAAATTATAATAAAATTGGTCGTAGAATAAAATTATTTTCGTAAAATATAACATTCTTCCTAGGAATAAAATTATTGTCAAAAATATTTGTAATAATCTTCGAAAGAATTCAATTATTTTCGTAAAAAATAAAATTGTTCCCAAAAATTCAATTTTTTTCAAAAATAAATATTTTCACAAAAATACAATTATTTAAAAAAGAATTTTTGTAAAATTCTTTGTTAGATTTCAATTATTTTCAATTTTTTAATTTGAATGAAATTCTTCACAAGAAACTAATTATTTTCATGAATAATTATATTTTTCTGCGGAATTCAATTATTTTCACAAAGAAAATTCTTCACAGGAATTCAATTCATTAAAAAATTTTTCAATAAAATTCGTTACAGGAATTCAATTATTTTCATAAATATCGAAACTTATCGCAAAAATTTCAATTATTTTTTAAACAATTTTAAATATAATGATAGAAAATTGCATTTATTTTTAATTTTTTTTTAAATTCACCGAAAGAATTCAATTATTTTTCAAAATTTTGATAAACTTCTTCATAAAAATTCAATTCTAAGAAATATTCAATTATTGAATAAATTATTTATTTTTGTATGTAAATAATTGAATTCTCAAAAGATTTTTTAAGTAAAAATTTATTAAAATATGAATTTCAGGTAAAATTTTAGATAATAATTGAATATTAGAAGAATTATTATGTGAATATTTAGGAATAATTGAATTTTGAAAAGGGTTCACATTCAAATCTTTGAAAATTTGAATTTATAGTTACAATATTCTTATGATATAAAATAATGCTTTTATCATTATCATCTTAAATTTATTATATAACATGAGGGAATCGATCACTCCGAGTCGAAGATTTGGAGTTCTTCATATTTTATAATAATATTCTCATAAGTTATTGAATTTGAGAATCTTAATGCCTATAATATTTACAATTCACTTACGAACTAGAAATAGATAGTGAAATTAATTTTCTAAATGTCACGGTATAAACAATAAAATAATAAATAATTGTCATCAAAATTCAACCTCTTTCGGTAGACTAATCAATTATTTTTCAAATCATCCAGTTCAACAAAAAATCAATATTGTACACAATCTTGTTGACAGAGCGATTCTTCTTTTTCCCTATTCGTTTCTCAAGGACAACTTAGCAAAAGTGGAAAAATTCTTAACAGCCAATTATTCCCTCCTCTCATTTGATGACAAATTCCAATTGTTAATAAAAATCCTAAATCAATTGTAAAACGGGACAAAGAACAAAAAGCGAAAAATAGTAACGAATATTGTTTACAAATTCAGTTGTAAAAGTTGTCCTGCAAATTACAAATATTGGTCAGACGAAGCGCTCATTGAATACACGTATCAATGAACGTAATGATAATAAAAACGATAAATCTGTGGTACGTGCACATCAATTAAATTTCAAACATGACTTGGATTGAAAGAATACCATTATTCTTGATCGTGAACCAAATTATAAAAGACGCTCCATTTCAAAAATTATTATTTTCAGTAACGATTATACAATTACTAATAAGTAGAAAGATATCTGTTTTCTTAATAAAACGCGATTCCCTCTTAATAGAAGATTGAATAAATAACAGAATTGTGAAGGTTCTTTCTTTATGCTTAGCTATGAGTTCAATGACTTTTCGATTTAATACGGATGGTATTCTTCAAAAACAAATTTTAATCAGTTTTGATTTGATGCTCGCATTGTCGCTTACTTATTTTGTGTAATAATTTTAAAGATAATTTTTAACATTGACCATTTACAATGTATTAATTTAAATACTTAGGTATTAGTATTAATTTATGATCGAATTTGTCTCTCATCAAAAAAAGTCTGTATTATTATCCTTCAAGTGTAAATCTTAATTTTTAGGAGAATTTAGTTGAGATTCTTTTACACTACATGAATATAAAGTATTATGATGTCCCAGTAAATAAAAGTTTGAAAAGTCTAGTTTTCTCAAAGTGAAATAAAAATTGCAGCATCTTCACAAGTTGTGTAAATTCTTCTCTCGACTTCCTTTAGAGCTGGATTATTTCTCTTTGATGTCTCTACCTCCCACGATAGTAACTTTGTCATTCATTTCTCTCGTTCGTTTATCAATTTATTTATCAAAGTTGAAGATGCCTTTCAATTCGAGTGCAAACAGAAATGTGATAATCATAAAGCATGAAGAATTTTTATAAAGTCAAATTGCTTTTGAAATTCTAATTGTCAACATATCAATGATGTCAGAAAGGTGAAAGCTGCTTTCTGATTTTAGGAATACGATTCTGCATCTGCGTGGAACGTCAGATCCATGGGAAGTTAGTTCCCAAGGTTCTGCATACAGTGTGGGGAGTACAAAAAGTCTAACTGCATCTAGAGGAAAATCTGTTGCGAACACACGTGGGGGTTATAATCGCGGAAGTTCAATACCCTCCCTCAAGCGTCACGAGTCGCAAATCTCATCGAAAGCAAATACTGGAAGTCTTAAATTACGTCAGGATGGACAAAGTCAAATACGACGACGGGATACTGTAGCCAATTTTCTATCCGGAGCGGGTGGTTCTTCTGGTGACCTTTTTGTGAGTGGTAGCTGCAATCGAGAATTATCGCCGGTGCATTGGTGTGAACATGAAGTGGACGGTGTTTATCTTGGTAGGTCCGGTTGGGTACAAGTCCAACAGAGATCCCTCGATGACAGAAGAACCAACTATGCAAATAAAATTGGTAACAATGTTGGTACACTACCACTGGCGCGAAGAACCAATGTTAAATTAGCAGACTATCACTGCAGTAAAAGCGAACCCGGAAAGTGTCCCGATTTCTCACGTCTCGAATCACAGAGACCTGATTATCTTGCTCTTCACAGTCGAGATTACGATCCACCTAGTAACTGTTCCTCACCCCACGATATACCCGAGTCCTTCTCACCACCCTCTCTAACGCCCATAATCTCTCCACCACCAGCTTTTCAAGACGTTGGCAAAAGATCTTCCTCGAGGCACATGGCAAATTCAACCTATCCCAAAGCTCCATTTCTACCACGTTCGAACGCCATTGTTGATAGTGACATAATAAGCCCACCACCCTCGCCACCTCACACCAGAAATTGGAGTTCCCTCCCATCGTCCGTATCTAGAAAATCCTCAAATCTTTCCGCCGCTAAGCTTAGAAAGACACCAAATATCACGTCTCAGCAGCAACAATACCGTATGGCCCAGGCAAAATCCCTCGAAGACCAGTCGTCTTCGAGAAGAAGTCAGTTTGCTCAAAGATACAAGGAGTCATCATCCTCGTCTTCCTCTTCAATGGGCTTTCGAAGTCTAGACAGTTGTATGAACAGGACGACAATGCCAAGACTGGCCGAAAACACCGATTCGTCTGTAGAGGGATATGACGACGAGGATGAGGACGACTTGAGTACCATTTCACCGACAGTAGTCCCTTTACATTCATCGTCCGAATCGATTCGTGCCAATGGTGAGAGGATATCACCCGGTAGTCGACAGAATAGACACTATCGAGGTCAACAGCCATTGAGAAGATCACCCGGTTCTTCGGAATCTGGAAAGCAAATGTCCTTCAATTCACCGTCTTCCTCGTCATCGACTTCGAGTAGTGTCGAACGTCAGGGTCGATCACCAACGCCAAACTTTAGACGTTCGAAGCAACAGAACACTAGAAACATCACCTCATCTCCTGATTCTCTTCAATCACGTGTACGACGCTCCAGGAGTCTTCAACTGCCGGAGAAAAAATCTCCAAGCTCTTCTGGACCGCAACAGTTGTCTAATGATCACAGAGCCATCAAGACTGCTGAGAGAGGCGGTCAGAAGCGTCACGCCTTATCTAACAGTATGTCAAACTATTGTCGTTTTTCTTTCAGTTGGCATGATTCTTTTCTTTTGTTCAGATAGAATAGATTTTGGTTTTATGTGCACGAAAAGAATTTCAGCATGTCTAGTATTTTGACTATTAGTTGCGCTTTTAATTCGAGACATCTGACGTATTGAATCGGTTGAGCCGAAAAAGTACACTATGCTTTTCCTCACAATTAGTCAAGGTACGAATTTTGAGTTTGTCCACTTCGTTTCCAATTGCAAAATCCAAAGTTAAATTCTGGTTATCAATCGGCCGATTCGGAAACGAAAGTAAAATTAGATAAACTGATAAATTAGTGCCTTGCTTAGGGTATTGAATACTGCATATGAGTGTACGTCATCAATAAGAAAAATTCCCAGAAAGTTGAAATTAGCTCCCACTGCCACCAACGGAATTTTAGAGTTGCGAAGTTTCCGTCAAAGAATTCACTGATACGGAGAAAATCCGGATAGACTAATTACTAATTAATACATTGACTAGGGGTTAATTCCACCAACCTTAATTAAAAGTTAATCAATAATTAAAGCCAGTTTAACGGTTTATGATTGGCTGATTGAGGATTTAATCATTGATTCACTTTTAATCGGTATTGGTGAAACTGGCCCTAGGTCGTGAAACGTCATCTAGTTATTGTAACCATTAATTTTATCTTTAAAAAATATTCAAACATGTGAAAAAATAAAATTAATAATTTAAAATAAAATAAATGATAAAATGAGTATTATATTAAAGAATTTATTTTAAAATAAGAATAATCGATTTTTATAAAGGCACAAATTAATATATTTATCAATTTAATAGAAGTCAAGTAAATGCCAAAATATCCAATTACATTAATAGTTCAATAAAGCATGACGTCATGATCGTTATATTTTACATTCACACCAAACAAATTACACACAAAATCACACAATTACAGACAATCATACAATAATGATATCAAAAATATAAAAATAGTTCGACATAAATTCAATTATCATTCATTTTCTTATAAAATTTAATTTAGAATTTCTTACGTATTAATCTGTTTGTTCGTCGCTTCCTTTATTACATTTTTTATTCCAAAAGGCTCAATGATCGAAATGGTGCATCAATGTAGTCACAAGGTCCATATGTAAAGGATAGTTGAAGGATTTATAAATTAAAGTACATCTCTTGACCCTTAATTTGGATTGATGTTTCAATAAAGTTCCTTGCGAGAAATATCCTTCCCTTTAGACATAATTGCTCAAAAAGATGCCACACGAATTATATCAAGGCCGGAATACGAATATCATTTCACCATATATCAATTCGCCACTCTATATAAAAAATACACACACATATATATATGTATCGAGATCACCTTTTATCCATAATACATATGAATGTAACATTACATAAAAGATCTAAAATATAATCAAACGATTACCTTATGGTTTCTCGACGAGTACACAAGATATGGCGAAAAGAATTTCTTTTTCTTATGGAAGACGACGAAACATTGACTCGCAGATACAATATTACAGCAGTTCCCTATACTTCTCCCTACTCTTTCTCATTTAGGAAACCGAATAAGAATTCGTCAAAATACGACAAAATTCGTCGTGTCTTCTTATATTACGCACATACAAATATAAACGTCGCTCATACACGAAAACTAATACTCACATTATTTTATCGCTACATCATTCCCCTTAATTTTGAGCTACATTTTACATTAGAGTCAAAATTACAAAATGTTATATTTAATTAAACATATAATGTCATTAATTTTCGTCGATATATAAAAATTATCCAATAATTATTATTTATTCATTTTGTATATATTAATATCATTCTTACACACTCGAATTGACAACAATAATTATTCAATTTAACATCACAATCTAATATGTCGACTGTAAAATAACAATTTCATAACAAATAATTAGGTATTAAACAACATAAATATTATATTATACAAATCATTACATTTTACTATTAAACGCGATGCAAATCCAAATATTCAATTGTCATAAGGCATTCTATATTTTTTTAAATGATATCTATTATAAATCCCAATAATTTTTTCAGGTTCTTCCGGGGAAGCTAGTTCATAAGAATTATTTTTAAAATCATTTTTTATCACATATGGTCCATAATAAACATGAAAGAACTTTCGAGTTACCTTCTTTAATGCGTCAGAAATTTTTGGAATATGTAACAGTACTAAATCGCCTACTTTTAAACTGACTTTTGAGCAAGACTTTTGAACTCGAGCACGCTTTTGAAAGCTCTGTTGTATTTTCTCTCGGGCTAATAAAATTTTAACATCTTTCGCGATTTCTTTTGTTTCTGGAAAATTTAAAATTTTTTGAACAGGGTCGGAAGGCCTAACTCCAAATTGTAATTCATGAGGTGAATAACCAGTACTATGATGAGTAGTGACGTTAAGAAAAAATTCTATATCAGACACATGTTTACCCCAACGAGTATGCTTTTCAGCACAGAGCGTTCTAAATAAACGACCGAGCTCCCTCATCACCCTTTCTACCGGATTCCCCTGTGGATGTCTTATAGATGAGAAAACAAATTTTATACCCAATTGATCTAACTTATTAATCCACTTTCTTGAAGTAAACTGAGAGCCATGGTCAGCTAATATACGCTTCGGTTTTCCGAAATCTGGAAAATACCCATCGCATAATTTTTTTATTACGATTTCAGTAGTTTCCTTTTTTATAGGATACAATTTCACATACTTTGAGAATGCGTCCATTACTACAAAGATGTATTGTATTCCCCCAATAGATTTCGGTAACGGTCCAAAAAAATCAATACATACAAGATCACCAGGTTCCATCGATTTAACCAGATTAAACGATCCTTCCATTTTAATATTTAAAACTTTGACACGTTGGCATAAATCACAACTTAATACAAATTGTTTAATTTCCTGTCCCATTTTTTTCCAATAATAAAATTGCTTTATATAACTTATGGTTTTGTATACTCCCGGGTGACCCAATTTAGAGTGAATACAATCCATTAATTGTTTTGTTATCAAAACAGGAACAACAACTTGCCAAAATTCAAGAAATTTATCATATCTAAACAGGACATTATTTTTTATCACATAGAAATCGAGTTTATTACCTTGTTCAATCTGGTCTAAAATTAATTTACAGTTCTCATCATCTCTCTGTAAAACAGACAGATTTTTCAATGACTTCGTTAAATCTCTATCCAACTCTATTGCACATACCGCTAGATCAATCTCACTATTCTCCGAATCTATATGTAAAACATCGATCGATAATTTATTTTGATGATTATTTTCAAATTTACCGCGCGGGTTTCTACTAAAAAAATCCGCCACGATATTATCCTTTCCTCTACAATACGATACATTAAAGTCATATTCTTGCAAGATTAAACTCCAACGAATCAGACGCGCACTTAGATAAGCCGTCGACTGTAAAAAGGTCAAACCCTTATGATCAGTGATGACATCGAATTGATTTCCCAGTAAATGCACTCTTAACTTAGTGATTGAATACACGATGGCTAAAAGCTCCTTTTCAGTCGTCGTGTAATTCATCTCAGCACTGTTTAAACATCGGCTTACAAGGGAAATAATCCGAGGATTGTCATCACTATCATACTGATAAAGAACTCCACTTACACCAACATCAGACGCATCTGTTTGCAAAATATATCGTGCACCCGGAATGATATGATTAAGTTCAACACATTGTATAAAAGCCAATTTCATTTTTTCAAAAGCTTGAGAATGTAAATCAGTCCACTTCCATGGATTTTTTTCCGCCAAAATGACACGAAATGGATCGATAAGCTCTGCATGTCGAATTGTAAACTGACGGTAAAAGGTACACACCCCCAAAAATTGTTGTAGTTCGCGACGATTTTTTGGTTTTTCGAATTTAGCAATGACTTCTAACTTATTTGAAAGCGGTTTTATTCCCCTTATAGACAATTCATGGCCTAAGAACTTTACACTTTTTTGCAAAAATAACGATTTATCGAGCTTTAAAGTAAAATTCTTATCTTGCAAAACTTCAAAAATAGACTCAAGGCCACTAACGTGATCAAAGAAAGATCCCTTTGTTGTTATCAAAAAGTCATCTACATAAATTGATAAAATTTCATTAAACTGATCACCGAGAGCATTATTAATTGCGCGAATAAAAGCTGACCCTGCAGTCTTTAGACCGAAAGGCAATCTACAAAATTGGTACATTTTTGAGTCATACAAAAATGCAGTATACTTTCTACTATCTCTATGCAGAGGAATTTGCCAATATCCAGTTTCAAGATCGACAATAGACATATATTCCACCCCATAAAATTTCTGTAATAACTCATTAATTAAAGGCGGCGCCTCATGATCCGATTCGATGATATTGTTAATGTAACGTGCATCCAAGCAGACTCTAACTGAACCATCAGCCTTTATAACAACTCGCAATGGACTACAATATTCGGCATCAGTTCTCTCAATAATTTTAGCTTCTTCCATCTCTTTAATTTTTTTTCCTACTGGTCCCCGATGGACAAACGGAACCGGGTAATGTTTTCGAACATAAGTTTCGTGATCTTTTATTCTTAATTTATATGGGGAGGTATCTGCGCTATCATTTTTTGGAGTAAAAAGTTTTTGAAATTTCAACATTTTAGTAATAAAATATTCTCGTTCATCACAAGTTAAATCGGGCAACAGTGAAATCAAAGATTGCAATTTTTTAGTAAACAAATCAGAGTCCAAATAATTATTATTAGAAACATCCGACGATAAACAATCAAAGTCATGAACTTTTTCATTTTCGTTATTACAAAGTGTATTAATATGTATATCTTCAACAAATACTTCACCCGAATAAAAGTCATTTTCAATATTTATTTTTTTATTATTTATGTCAATAGTTCTCGATAATGCAGATTCATTCTTTCCGCAATTTATTTCGTCATGAAATAAATAACAGTCAGATAAA